AGGTGAATCTCTAAATGGCTAACCTGTCATTTTTCATTTCCCACACTGAGACATACTTATATTCAGGTAGGTCTGTAGCTAGCTACATATTTATAGAGATATATTCTGAGGGGCTTGTCACATTTACATTTCTTTTGAATATATGCTGACCTTGAATATTAAAGTACATCTGCATAATCAAGGCACATTGACAGATACTAAATCACAAAACAGCAAGAGTAGGAGCAGAGAGGGGTAGAGAAAAACGCAGGAGAGGAAAAGAGAGAAACCAAAAGAGAAGAATCAATTTCTTCATTTGTAAAATTAGGGAGTTTGATGAAATAATCTCACATTCTCATTGCACCTCCACAATATCACTTACGATTGTCTCCTCCCCATTCACACAGCCACCATCCTAGCTCAAGACCTCCTCCCTTCTCCCCTGAACTTCTCGGTGGTCTCATACTGAATCTCCCTGTTTCTGCTCTCTCCTCTTTCAAATTCATCCTCCACACACTACTGATAGAATAGTATTCCTAAAGCCCAGGTCTCACCATGTCTGACTTCCTTGATCTAAATCCTTTAGTGATCCCCACTTGCTTATAGGATAAAATACAAATCCTCATTCTAGCACTGAAGGACCTACACACTGTGACTCCTAACTACTTTTACAATCTTCTGTCCTTTACAAACTCTATTTTCCAGCAAATATGAACTACCAGCTGTTTCCTGAATTCAACTCACCATCTCCTGCCACTGGGCAATCCTACAGCCATCCCCCCAAGCCTGGATTAGGCATTTTTCCTCATTTCCACTTTTAAGAAACTTTTCTTCCTTCAGGACTAGGCTCAGATGCCATCTCTCCCATGAAGTTTTAATGATAATTCTCTTCCTCTTCAATCTTTCTTGTATTATACTTACATACTTTACACAATAGAATGGAAACTCCTTGAGAGCAGGTAATTGTTTTCTTTGTATCCCCAGTACCTAAGCACCAAACTTTGTGCATAGTACAGTAGGTAGTTAATGTTTGTTGAATGGAATGAAAGATTTACAGATATGCAAATATATCTGCATTTAAAAAAGAAAGACAAAAGTAATCATGAAGATATTTTTTTCCTTGTGCATACAAACATGATGTAGTCATGTTATAAAGAGATGTTAGGGAACAAAACCACCTGCATTATAGGATATTTGTGTAACATCAAGATGATACATCACTAAGTGCAATGAGAGACATGAAGTGTAGCGGAAAGATCAAGAGACTGGGAGTTAAGAAACCTGAGTCTCAGCTGCAAAGCTGCTAATTTGCATGTGACCTTAGGCAAGTTACTTCATTTATCTTGGCCTCAATTTTTTCATCTGAAAAATAAAAGGGTGGGAGTACCTGATTTCTAAGATTCTCTTACAGCTCTAAAATTTTATGACTTCATAATTTGACCCATAGTACATCTGAAACATAAAAGAGTAAGACCTTTTATAATGCAGCTTTAATAGTTTTTTTAATTGTTGTTGTGGGTTTTTTTGATGGTTAATGGAATGAATGAATGTATCAAAAAATATGTATGAAGCCCTTACTTAGGTGCAAAGCACAGTACTAAGTGGGGTAGTAGGGATGGAGAGATGAAAAGAGAAGAGAAAAACAGAGCCTGGTTCTCAAGGAACTTAAACTCTAAGGGACTGAAACATCACTTATAAGAAGTTTCAGGGCAGCTAGGTGGCACAGCAAATAGAGCACCAGCCCTGGAGTCAGGAGGACCTGAGTTCAAATCTGACCTCAGACATATAACACTTACTAGCTGTGTGATCCTGGGCAAGTCACTTAACCCCACTGACTAGCCAAAAAAAAAAAAAGAGAGAGGTTTTAACTATGAATCAGATGGAAGAAGTATCATTAGGGTATGATGACAAAGTAGACAGAAATTCATCATCTATAATGTCATTTCTGCTGAGAAAATCACTTCCATTCCATAATGATATCAAGCACTTTGGTACTGAGCCCTCTCTTGTCTGGGTCTTCATTAACAATGACTGCAGCATCCACAGAAGCAATTTTGCTCGACTACAATTCCACTGGGATTTCTTTCCTCAGCAATCACTGCAAGGACCCAGGCTGCAAAGCAGAGTTTGTAGTCTGGGGAACACTGCTCTTCCCAAAGCTCTTGGGTTGTAGCTCCTGAATGATCTCTATCAGAGACTTAGGGGACGTGGTGGCACTCTAGGGGATGGCGGTGGTTTCACTTCCTTAGCCTAAGCTGTCTCCCTGAGGGTGCCCTACTACTGCAATTAGGTGGTAGCTGGTGGGGATGGCTGGCCCTCTTCTCCATGGGAATCGCTTCCCAGGCACTGGTCTAGGGGGTTTACCTGGAAGCAGAATAAGGGATCTGGCAAATGTTATCATTACAACTATGGGGCTTCGGTACCTATCAAACTTGGAGTTGAAAGATCACAAGATCCAGTCCCATTATTTTACTAATGAGAGAATTGAGATTCAGGAAGATTAAATGATTTGCCCAAGATGTATGCAATGATAAGTAGCCATCAGGATTTGCTGCCAGCGTCTCAGACACCAAATTAAGTACTCCTTGTATTGGACCCCACTGCCTCAGCTGATGAACAATCACTATAGATATCATATATATAAAACTAAGAATACCCTCTCAGAAAAATTATTCCAAGAGAATTTGTTACACAGCATCTGTGTATGATCAGGAAATAATGAGAAAGCTCCTCTTTATGAAACTATTTAAATTATTAAATCATCTTTGCAACTAGGGTAAATTTAAATATTGGTAAGCCTCAGTATAGCTCCACTGAACCTTGGAAGAGAGACAATGACATCACCCAAAAGGAACTTAGTCTACCATCGTTCTATAAGTAGCTTAACATGAAGAAGCCCACATAGCCACTTCAAAAAAATCACTTCAACTTTACTTGAGGCACTTGATGCAGTCTTAAGATTACTCCTATACCACAACGCACATTCACAAGAATAGTGTTAGAATAATGTAGTAGGTGCTTGACCAGGCCATAGACACAGCACTCTTGCATCATATTTGACAAAGAATCTAAGCCATCCACAAGAAGAAAGTCCTTCAAAACCTAATCTTTCTGTATCAAAAATTAATTTTTTTTAATCTTTTTATGAGGAGTTTTTCTCTAACAGTTCCATTTGCCTTTTTTCTTCCCCCATTCAATATTATTTTATTTTTTAATTTGAAGAATTTTTCTAATGTCTTTTGATTTATATTATAATCATTTCTGAATATACAATGAGCCTTCAAAGAAAGAAAGAAAGAGAAGAAAAAGAAGAAAAAGAAAGAAAAGAATGAGAAAGAAGGAAAGAAAAGAGGGAAGGGGAGGTAAGGAAGAAAGGAAAGAAGGAAAAAGAAAAAGGAAAAAAGACAGTTAAGCAAACATCAATACACCAACTGCATCTAACAGTATATACCTATAGTTTCCTACCTCTCTAAGAAAGGAATAAAATGTATTTCATGATCTTTTCTCTTGGGCCAAGATTAGTCACTGTAATTTTACAGCATCTATCTTCAAAGTTAAACATTTTTGGATAGCACACTATATAAGAATCCTAGTTGGCATAAAGACACTCTTGCCAGAGAAACAGACAGATGTTAGTGCAGGGAGGGGGAGGTTCACTTATGATGAATGCAAAATAGAAAAAAAAAAGCAATGAAAATTTCACGAGCCCTACATTGCTGCAAACTACCATGAATTATGCAAATCCTTGATCCCTCCTCAATCATGTGTTGGCACTCTGAATTTCTGTGCTGCATCAATCAGTTCTTCCTTCCATTAGTTATGTGTGTACATGTCTGATACTCTACCACTGTCCCAATTAAAAGGCAAGCTCCTTGAAGACAGGAATTATTTGAACTTTGTGGTTTCAGCTAGACACTAGCACAGTGTCTAGCACAGGGGTGGGGAACCTGTGGTCTTGAGGCCACATGTGGCCTCTAGGTCCTCAAGTGCAGTCCTTTGACTGAATCTAAACTTCACAGAACAAATCCCCTTAATAACAGGATTTGTTCTATGAAACTCGGACTCAGTCAAAAGGTCACACCTGACGACCCAGATGGCCACAGGTTCCCCACCCACTGTCTGACACATAATAGGCAATAAATGTATGTTGAATCAAATTAAATGGAACTGTCAAAATAGAACCACTGTATCACCAGATAATTCTAATTCACACATCATAACCCAAACTCACTTTAAGAAGTTTAACTCCATATGGAACAACTAGAGAAATCATTTCCTTTTGACAGGAAATAAGGCAAAAGAGTTAGGAAGAAGTTAATATAAACTCCTAAGTATTTTATATGCCAGCAAAAAGACTTCAACTAACAGGAAATACAAAGCAGATGTTGTAGGCCTAATTTTAAATTGTAATTAGACAATATTGAAATTATTAAGTATGATGGCACGATATCTAAAATCATGTAATAAATGTTTCCAATCATCCTTTCTATAATCCCATCTTTTGGTAACTTATATAGAATTATAATTGAATTTACATGTTTCCCCTTTTATGAAATACCAAATCCTAATATAATAATTAATTTTACAAAATTAGCATAAATTACATAATAAAGTTACTTTTGAACTTCTCTCCACAAAACTCTCAGCATACATATCCTTTTTATTGAATAGGTGGACAAAAGATACCACTTGTCTTAGAAATTTAATGAAATATTCAAGTATTTGTGAATAAAAGAATAGAAAAATCAACATAGTGGCAATTATTTACATTTCATTGAAGTTGTTACAAGCAGACTAAATTTGTGTGTATTTGGAAGGATAAAAGCATCACAACTCAAAAAATTTCATTGACTTAAAATTACAATGAAAGGAAATATAAAAATACATCATTAAGTTTTGAATCAGTAAACTTAAAGTATCTAATAAGGAGGTTTTCGACCAAAACATTCAGAAGAAAGACTTAATTTTGCTTAAAATCAACCAGTTATGGTGACTTGTGTTACATTATATTTTTTTCCTACCTTAGTGCATGAATGCAATAAATCATTCGAGGTATGTTTTTCCGATCATAGACATCTGTTGTTTCTGGATAAAAGATCTGAAAAATAAAGAGGCACTAATATTTAGTCTTTAGTAAGCCCTTCAAAATTTAAAAAATACTCATATATTCTTCAAAACAATTAGATTTGGACTGTCCTTGTTAGATTGAAAGTATTTAATGAGCATTAGTGAATATTCATTTAGAGAAACTTGATTTTTTTGTATACTTTACAGACACATCTATTATCAATGTTGTTTCATTCTGCATAAATGGTAGCTTTTCCTCATGTTCAGAGGAACATGAAAAAAGTGCTTTCCCAAAAGACTGACAGTACTGAAGGGCGAAAATGCCACTGAGATTGCACTGAATGATGTTTTCACCTCAAGAACTCATCTGTTTATAAGATTACTATTTTCACAGACCCTATGGATCTGAGAAAGGTATAACTTCTCTGAAATCATCATTTCCCTTTCCTAAATTGATCTGTAAGAAAAATGATGGTCATTTACAAGTGAGGGAAAACAAATGGACATCCAAAATGCTATACTCACATTCAAGAAAATACAAAAGATTGAGTGGATCATTTATGGACAAGCTATGGAACAAGAAAGAGTACCAGTACCTACTTCAATGAAATGAATCAATCAAGTAGATTTTGCTCCAGAACTTGCCTTTATATTTAAAGATAAGCAAGTTTGATGGGGATAGGTTATTAGAACTGAATTCTAAATAGCAAAAGAATGGATTCCTTAACTTATCAATGAGAACGTACTATTCAAAGATTTAATAACAAGTTTAGAAATTGAGTTCTGAAGGCATGTCCATAAGTCATGTGAGAAGTCGGGGACAAGTCAAATTGATGAAGCAGGGTAATAACTTCATTTTACAGAAAGCAAAGGCTTTATAATAATTTTCAGATTGGAGTAGATCATACATTGATCATACATGTTCACATGTTACACTGGTGAAGTGTAAACCTACATTGAAGAAAGGAGGAGGGAGTCTCATGTACTGTGAATATGGAGTCTAGGACCTTTTCAATTTTCCATTAAGTTACTTTCAGTTTCCTCATCTGTAAAATAGGGATAACAATAGCACCTATCTCCCGGAGTTATTGTGAGGATCAAAGGAGATAATAAACGTAAAGTGATTAGCACAGAGCCTGGCACATAATAGCATCTAGCTATAGTAAATCTAGCAAACATCAACCCATATGATACTGAGCTGGTGACCATATTAACCTCCTCTATGCCAAATTTTTTCAACTTAAAATTTTTTTTCCCTCCCAGATATCATGCATATGATGTGATGAAGATTAATGAGAGTCACATTTTAGTCAACTTTCCTGGAATACATTCATTCCATAAAGTAGGGGAAATTTATATTAATACTTGAAATTGAGAAAACTCAAGTTAATCTTACCAGGATAAGTAACCAACATAACCATAAGGAAAATATGCTAACTCAAAGGGAAAAGTGCTGAAAAAATTTTTTGTCTTTTATGGCGAGGCAATCAGGGTTAAGTGACTTGTCCAGGGTCACACAGCTAGTAAGTGTCAAGTGTTTGAGGCCAGATTTGAACTCAGGTGCTCCTAACTCCAGGGTCAGCGCTCTATCCACTGACCCACCTAGATGCCCTCAAAATAGATTATTTCAAGAAAAACTGAAGCTGTATATAAAAATCTTTAAAAAGAAAGCATTTCACAACCCTTTTTAGATTCTTAGGTAGCTTTTATAAATGTATGTTTATGTAGACACATCTGCATAGATATATAAGGTATCTATATAATTATGTGTCTGACTTTTGATTTTGATGGCTTAGGGAAATCCATGGTGAGGAAACTCCTCTGTAAATGCATATCAGCAACTCCAAATAATATATATTAGATACTGAGCATGCACGCATGCATAGACATACACACACACACACACACACACACACACACACACACACACACACAGAGCACTGAAAAAAATTCAAAATTTATTTTAAATTTGCTTTGCCATAATGGTTTTCATGGAAGCATGGGCCCCTAAAGAGGTAATACAGTTCTTTCTTCTTACCTTCATGTGAGATCATCCCTAAGTCATAACCATTTTTAAAATTATTTTTCATAATTCTTACAGGGGGTAGGAGAAATAACTGTTGTTGCTTTTGTTTCATTAGATTAAACTATTTCAATTCAATCCAAAATATATGTGGAGTTAATTAAGACTAGAATCTCTGAGAAAGTTCCTTGCTGGGCATGCCCTCAAGTTTAAGAATGTCAGTGCTTACCTTAGGGAGCCCAATGGATTCCATTGCTCTCAGCCATTGCACAGTATTATCTGTATGACGAAAATGAAGTCCTGATTTCTAATGGAAAGGGAAAGAATACAGAAAAGCATAAGCCATTTAAAATTATGCTCTTCAACAAGATATCTACGTGTTATATTTCTCTAAGGAATATAGTAATGAATTGCTTCTTTTTCTAGGCGTAGTTGAGGTATATCAAAGGGGACTAGGTTACAGCTGAAGGCCACCAACCATCTATATTATATTAGAGTTTTGCCACATTTTTTTTGTTGGGGGGGCTTTTCATTGTGTCTTTATCTCAAAATAAATTTATTTATTTTTACACCCATTAATACTCTATTCCTCCCACTACCCCCCACTCCAACTGAATAATCATTTTAAAAAGACTGTCATCTTAAACATGCATAGTCCAACAAAACAAATCTCCACATTAGATATGTCTGCAAATGTCTGTCTCTGCATTCAAAGTTCATCTATTTCATCTTCAGCCTTCTTTTTACCAAATATGATATGAACTGTCACTTTATGGTTTTTAATTAATTCTTAACCAGGCTTTTTTTTTTTTATCTCATCTCAGACTGCTGCCAGGAGATGAGGAAAGTGACCAGGTATTTGGAAGCAGTGAATGGTCAGCCTAATGATCTCAAGAAGGCATAAACTAGACCAACAGAGATAGAAGAAAAGGTACCTATGTACTTATGATTTATTACCTCAGCACGAGTAAGGGTAAATAAAAGCAATAGAGGAAGATATACTGCATAGTTTTATTTCAAAATACGAAATTTTTGAAAACTTAATGCACATACTTAACCCTCTTAAGTCACATATGTAGTTTATCTGGCTAATCTTGACCTAGCTGATCAGGAGATATTCACTCTTCTTTTTCCTGTCCTCCTCAAAAAATTCTGACGGTTTCCAGTGTCACCTCCCAGCTAGTCTTTCATTGTCCATTCACTGTTTCTGGCTCTGTTGACCTGCTGTTCCAGATTCTTTGCCTTAACGTTTCATTTTTTGAAGAGGAGATAACTTAGGCTGCTGCTAGTATTCATTACAAGCTTTAAACACATTAAAAGAGAAGTGACAAACTGCCCTTCTCTTTATTCTTTTGTTTTCTAGGAACCTACTGTTAGTTTTCTTATTCTTTTGATGTACTAACATTACATATTGCAGGCTAATGACCCTAAAGAGCATTTAAGAATATAATCATTATACTGCTTAAGAGATGGCCAACAAAACCAGAAGCTTAGGGATAAAACAATTAATCAGCTGCTGTATTTGAGCTACAACAAGTATATCACTATTCACATACCCAAAACATCCTACACATGCAGATTTTTCCCCCTCTTTTTTTTCCAAGCCAGGCCTTGGATTCCTAAAACCCATATAGTCTGTTTAACAATTTGATACACACAGGTGAAATTCCTCTTTGTAATAAAATAACCTTTACTTAGAAATATGAACAGATATCTTTCCAGTAGCGAAGTGGGAAGAGTGATGAATATCAAGTTACAGGACTTGAGTTTGCCTATAGGCTACTTAATATCTATGTGGCCTTGAGCAAGTCACTTACCTCTCTCAGAGTCAGTTTCCTCATGTGGAGAATGAGGGGACTGGACTAAATGACCTCTTTATGCTCTTTCTAATGCTAGATCTGTGATCCCATGTGTATACATAGTTACAAAACATCATGCAATTTAGTACATTAGTAATAACTGCCAGCTAGAGGCAGCTAGGTGGTGCAGTGGATAGTGTCAGGTTTGGAATCAGAAAGAGTCCTTTTCCTGAGTTCAAATCCAGCCTCAGACACTTACTAGCTGTGTGACCTTGGGCAAGTCATTTAACTGTTTGCCTCAGTTTCCTCAACTATAAAATGAGCTGGCGATGGAAACGCCAAACCATTTCAGGATCTTTGCCAAGAAAACCCCACATTGGGTCATGAAGAGTTGGACGTGACTGAAAAACAACAATTGTCAAACTGTATCGACAGAGACAATATCTTTACTTCTTCTCTATTCCCTATGGTACCTAGTAAAGTGCTTGGAATTAAGGATGTATAGAATAAATACTTGCTGCTCAGTGGATATGCATATATAGAGGCACAAATTAAGGAGATTAGAAATCTCAGCTACAAATCGCTTTTTTCAACATTCCATTCCACATGATTTAGTAAATGAGTAATTTATTTCATTTTTCTAAGGGCAGAGACATGAATAGAGAACACCTACTCTTCTTTCCTGGTATGACTCTACAAGAGTCTAAGCCAAAAAAAGTCCTTCAGTTTTTATCAGCTATTATTAGGTTTTTCATAGTCCAAGCATAGCTCTCTGAACAAAGTAATACTCTACAGAATAAAGGAAAAATGCCAAGACAGAAATGAACAAATCCTGAACTCCCCCAAAAAAGGAAAGAGATCTCTTGCAGCATCATGAGATTTTGAACTAGAAGGAGCCTTAAAGAGATCATCTAGTACAACTCCTATTATTTTACAGATAAGGAAACTGAGTCCCAGGGAGACTGAGTGATAAAATAGATAAAATGCTGGTTCTCAATCAATTTAGTGCTCTTAAAACTGAGTTGAAAACTTTTGTTCATTTTTAGAGTTAAGAAATTGTTGATTAATGCTCAGATAATTTTACTGTCATATCTATCCCATATTCATTATTTTTTAAAAATCCATCATTCAAAATCATTTAACCTTGCCTTGAAATTTCCCTCTCTGATCACAATCTCCTATCCTATCTCTCTCATTATATTATTCCTCTAAAATTGTTTATTGTAAGCAAAAATGAGTCTCTATCCGACAAGGCTAGCCCCATTTCCTCTGCCTCCCCGCTCCTCCATCTCTTGCCCTGATGCTCTTCTCAAACTCTCATATCTATTTCTACTGTGCCTGGTAATTTCCAGAAGAGAAATTTAGTATGGCTCCTTAGTTGATTGGTGTCTCTCTGTCTATAATCTCAGTAGTAGGAAGCCAATTAATCCTATCTTAATGGAATTCCCCTCACCCCTATAAAACACCCAATTGCCCCATCCTTGAGTTGCCCTTAAGTATGGACCCAGGAGTCATAGTGAGAGCTTTAGATCTCCAAGAGACAAGTCGTAGGAATGATGTCTCACCAAGGTGGATCACTTCTTGTGCCACTGTCTGAATACCAGAGGGACTGAGGTTCCCTAGTGACAGTCCTCATTGTCCTACATCCCTTCCCAATACTCCTTTGGAGTTTCAGTTCCGGAATAGAGAGAATGCCCTTGCAACTTTTTCCTGTTGTCCCTGCCTCCACCTCTGGGCTCCCATGAGTGCCTTCAGCTAAACCAAATTCCCCACCTCCCTCTCCTTTTTTTTTTTTTACTGGAACTGTGACTTCTTTGGAATACAGAATTCCCAAATGAGGAAATTCCTTCTACCAATACAAGTCAGTACTGACTCTGCAAACTGTTGTCTTAAAGAATTGTCACACAGCCAGTATGTATCAGAGGTGGGACTTGAACCCAGATCCTTTTGACTTAAGGCTTGCTCTCTCTATCCAATACACCATTCTGTCTCCTTGGAAGCATGCCAACTTGGTACTTTCTTTCTATAAACTCACAAAATAAAAATGACTCTTGCTTTCAATTGCAAATTTTAAGCCCCTTTAATCCCAGCAATACAGTTTAACACCATTCTTTCCCTCACTGTGATCTTTGATCACTATGACTGGTATACTTCCTATCTATTCTACATATATTTTGTGTGTATCTAGTTTCATGTGTTTTTTCCCCTTGTTCGAACTTTAGCTTTATTAAGGCAAGGGCTGTTTTTGCTGTTATTTGTATCTCCAAATTTTAAGTGCTCAATAAATTTTTGTTAGTTAACTGACTGACAGGTGTGGTGGAAAGAGCGTTCATTAGATGTGGAGTTGGATGAACTGGGCTCAAATCCCACTTCTGATATTTATTCTTCTTCTATAAAATGCGTGGGTTGAAATAGATGATGTCTAAGGTCCCTTCCAGCTCTGGAACAATGATTTTAGGGATAGAAGCCTAGCAGTAGTCTCTCAAGTTCTATTTATTCTTCTAGTCTAACAGAACTATTCTTGGCTCATTTCCTCCCTATCTAGTCCTTGACCCTATGGCTGGCCACTTCAATATTACATTCCACTCTACCCTTGAATCTCTTGTCCTCTCAACCTTCTGCTACCTTTAGCCCTGGACAACTCCTACCATACCTTGATTACATTACCATTCCTGAGACATGAAATTCTTTTGTAGGAATTCATGAAATTGAGCTGGTCCACCAAAAATTTATACTATCCAACCTCAACTGGGCCATCACTGCTTTGTAGATAATCCTTTACTTCATCTTTTATGTGTTGGATCACATTCCCAGGATAGCTCTTCCAAATATTCTCTCAAATCTCCAACTCCATATCCTGTACACTCACTTTCAGGAACCTACCTACATCAAGATGATTAAGAGTTTTAGAAGACTGAGTGGAAGTTCCAGAGAGCTTCAATATCTATCCAGTTTGAGGGAAGAGAATATCCTTTCTCAGAACAACCACTTCCCTGACCCCCACTATAATAGATCCCATCCTGTACAGTTTCTTTCACATAACTTCAATCTTCACATAAAACATATAGAGAGAGAGAGAGAGAGAGAGAGAGAGAGAGAGAGAGAGAGAGAGAGAGAGAGAGAGAGAGAGAGAGAGAGAGAGAGAGAGAGAGAGAGAGAGAAGATGAACAAAGGGGAAGAGAGGGGAGGGAAGAAAGGGAACTAGGAAAATGAGAAGTAGAATAAACTGGGATGTCACCAGGGACCCTCAGTTCTTCCCTTGACTTTGCCATTCCCCCTGAGTTATCTTCATATTTTCTCCTCTCTTTTATTGTCAGAGTTCTAAAAATGGGTTGTCTACCTAGGATGCCTCCATTTCCTCATCCCTTGAACCCATTCATCAACCCTTTCCCATGTAGAGGTTGTTTAGTGACACAAATAATTCTACCTAAGATCCCCAATGACCTTAATGCTAAATCCAATAGCTGCTTTTTTATCCCCAACCTGTTTGATTTTTCTATATTTGACA